AACCAGCAAAGAGACAGCTCATCCAGCAAAGAGACAGCTCAACCAGAAAAGAGACAGACCATCCAGCAAAGAGACAGCTCAACCAGCAAAGAGACAGCCCATCCAGCAAAGAGACAGCTCAACCAGCAAAGAGACAGCCCATCCAGCAAAGAGACAGCCCATCCAGCAAAGAGACAGCGCGTCCAGCAAAGAGACAGCGCGTCCAGCAAAGAGACAGCTGTTTTACCTGCTCAAAATTAAGACTACAGCTCACTCACTATCATACTAGATAGGCAAAGACTAAGTCTTTTGAGATAAAATATAAAAAAAGTATATTTATTGATATTTAATATTCCCTATTACAGGTTATAGCTAATCATATATAGAATAAATCATAAAGCGTAAGCATCAATACATCACCGGATATTGTCGCATCACTCGTCGCCTCGATTGGGGGACTTCCAGCAATCAGCGAGGAGGAAACCGGGAAAACACCACAAGACACGTCTGCCGCACCAAGATGAAGTCTCGTTTGCTCCTCAGAAATCCCCCCTTCTTATAAGACAAAATTGTTATTTTACTTGTGTATATGCGCAGTGTGTAAGTTCCGCCATGTTAACACAGCATGGGTTCATGTTCAGTTGCTTGTTCTCACGGTGTGTCCTATCTCATGACAATCAGTCATAATTACAGATAAAACCAGTTTCATCCACCTTTGCACAAATAAGCCTGAATTGTAATAACCTGTTATACCTATAACACTGCAAAACCAAGACCTGTAAAAACCTATTATACCGGTAACAGAAAAACCAAGTGTTCAATTATAATCTATACACTCATTCTATACAGGCTTGTCACACACGTATCACAATAGGTCCTTAATTGAACACTTAGGTTCCATATGTTACCATTAATACTCTTGTTTTTTTACAAAACAATTTATAGGCTATAAAACAATTCTAAAGTGATAATAAAATTACTATAATATAAATAATTAATACAGGGTGTATAAAAAAATTTAAGATTCGTGTTGCAGAAGGAGAATAACCAGTAAATAAATTTTATCAATGGTGTGAAGTTGCATCAGCTATGCTAGAGTCCACCTTGACAAGCTTATCTTTAACAATAGTAGTCCCTATCACATGCAATTCATTTGATTTGTTTAGCAATTTAATATGTTTCCTAACTTCAGATGATTGGTTAATAATCTTTTCCAACTTTGATAGGTTAAAATTCCAATTAGGCACTTTTAAACTAATATGTCTCCAATATGTCTGTACATCCACTTCAGTGTCCGCTTTTAAAATAAAGGTTTCATTTTTCCAATGTACTATTGTCATATTACTTATACATTCTGAAAAGGGGACTTGCATATTCGGTACGGCGGGCACGTTTGTGATCATACAGACAGTTTGGGGTGCAATTTCAATCATATATTTATATGTCAAAGGTAAAATGATCTATATACAAATATTTACAGTATTTTGCAATAAACAAGGTTCATATATAGCAGACTGCAACTTACATATCTTTCCCTCTAAAATATTATCACAGAAGGAAAGATCGTGCGTTCTATTTTTATTATCCATATGTGTGCCATAAAATTCCGAAGTCTAATAATGTAAATCTCCGGGAACTCCTAGAATCAAAGGCATTACTACAAATTTGCACATTATATTAGATTTGGTTACATTATACATATGGATTGTTCCCGAACAGAATGGGGTTTATTTACTAAAGCTGGAGAGTCCAAAATCAGACTCCCTTCTGCATAGAAACCAATCAGCTTCTAACCTCAGCTTGTTCAATGAAGCTTTGGCAATGAAACCTGGAAGCTGATTGGTTTCTATGCAGAAGGGAGTCTGATTTTGGACTCTCCAGCTTTAGTAAATAAACCCCAATGTGTCATTGCAAACCATCTTTTGAGATTCCAAATGTATCCAAAACTTTGGATCAATCGATTGATTAAACACGGTCCTCCATATTTGTTCATTTTCGGCCATCAGCATGGCCTGAAAAATTGCTTTCTTTCTGTTGTAGTTGATATATTGTTTGCAGTGAATATACTGTCTAGTTTACAAAATTAGCAACATTTTAATCAAAACCATAATTGAATATGTTAGAAGCAGCTTGTAAATCGGCCATTATAGTATCTACTCCGGCACTTATTTTAGCTGGCTGCCATATAGTGGGCATCCATGTAGTTTGTAATGTTAAAACATAATTTAATTTGTTACCAGCATTATGTAATCTATTGGCTAATGTTTCTATATTAAAACCATTTAAAGTCTCTGCTAATGTCCCATAACCTCCAAGTATGGTATCATACCACGTCCGTTTAGTACGTGCAGGTTTTGGACAGTTCATAATCCGTGGAAAAACAACTTGAGCATGTATTATAGTCTTTTGGGCATGTTGCCCTACTTTTTCACAAGTAGATGGGAGTCTTTTGATATGATCTGAATCAACACGAGATGTATTAATGTTAACACACACCAGATGTTGTGCCTACCAAGTTCTGTATGTTTTGTATGACTGTGCTGTTGGTACACGTTATTATTTTAGTTTCATTTAAATAGAAAAGAAAATTAGTTCTGTGCTTAGTACAATTCTTATACAAGATGTCTTGGACAGTCTTATTGTGAAAAAGGAAAAGGGAAGAATGTTGGCAACAACTAATATTTACTTGAGCCGTTATATTTACTTTTCCACTTTCTTTATGTAATGCATACGTTGGATGGTATCTGCTTCTGGCCGGATTAGGAGTCCCAGTCCACATGCTTTCGTCGAAAATAATATTTAAAATATTGCAAGCTTGATTAGCAGGACAAGAAAAAAAAATCCTGTTGCCGGTTTTTGGTTGAGTTTTTCCATCTCCATCCCACCTTACTTTGATGAGTGTCAGTCATTTTAATGGTGTAAACCTCCTGCGCTCTGAATAAACCTAAACTAATCAATGAGAAGCTGCTGAAATGAAATCATATCCCAATGATCCATCAATAACTAAAAGTGTGAACACAATGCTGCGCTACTCAAACACATAAATACACCCTTATAGTGAAAAACTAAATAAACAAATAAGTGAACTGAAAAACACTCAGTGCTGGTATCAATAAGTGCAATCATGCAAACCACACAACTAAATAAAAGGCCACATGTAAATGTGATGAAAAACCAAAACTGGAAGTGATAAAAAACTCAATATGTGAATGTTAATACATATACAGAACACTCTCCTCCAACTAAAACATCAACTAGGCTGAAGGAAAAAATAGGAATAAATAACTGCTATATACTTATAAATTTAGATCAATATAAACCCCAAATACGTGAAACATAAGCATAATCAATGTGCTACAGTGAATAAAAAGTGGTGTAATCACACACAATAGACGACCTACTATATAGGTCTGTGCTCAAAACGTCCACAAAACATGGATCACAAAAAACTTTGCATGGAGATGACACTCGTACTGATAGTGTGACAGTGGGCACAGCTGTTGACAGACGACACTCCAACCACTGGCTAGATGAGCCTCTCACCTTAGAAATTCGACCCTTGCGGGTCAAAGGGCTTTAAGGATCCCTCACTCAGATCCTCCAAGTCTGCAGCAACTCCACTGATCTGCCTCCACCGCACACAAATCCCCCTCACCAGGTCAGCACCCAGCTAATGGCTCCTCTCCAGATAGGGTCAGGTACAGTGCCAACAACTCATCCAGAATAAAAAGCATATGCTTCCATAGTTTATGGAATGAGGAAGCCCTGAGGAAGTCACATGACATTGTGACACAACGTGTCAGCCTGACGTAGTGACGCACTTCCGGCGTGGATGCCATCTTGGCACACCCTGCAGTACACCCATGCCTACAAACTACACCCAAAAGCATGAGGTTTTTTGGGCTGTGATTACTGCAATTACATATGAGTGCGCATTTTATTTGTTCTATTTTAACTATGGGAAATTAAACTTATTACACTATGGAAGAATATGCTTTTTATTCTGGATGAGTTGTTGGCGCTGTACCTGACCCTATCTGGAGAGGAGCCATTAGCTGGGTGCTGACCTGATGAGGGGGATTTGTGTGCGGTGGAGGCAGATCAGTGGAGTTGCTGCAGACTTGGAGGATCTGAGTGAGGGATCCTTAAAGCCCTTTGACCTGCAAGGGTCAAATTTCTAAGGTGAAAGGCTCATCTAGCCAGTGGTTGGAGTGTCATCTGTCAACAGCTGTGCCCGCTGTCACACTATCAGCACGAATGTCATCTCCATGCAAAGTTTTTTGTGATCCATGTTTTGTGGACGTTTTGAGCACAGACAGTTGGTCTTCTATTGTGTGTGATTTCACCACTTTTTATTCACTGTAGCACATTGATTATGCTTATGTTTCACGTATTTGGGGGTTTATATTGATCTAAATTTATAAGTATATAGCAGTTATTTATTCCTATTTTTTCCTTCAGCCTAGTTGATGTTTTAGTTGGAGGAGAGTGTTCTGTATATGTAGTAACATTCACATATTGAGTTTATTATCACTACCAGTTTTGGTTTTTCATCACATTTACATGTGGCCTTGTATTTAGTTGTGGTTTGCATGATTGCACTTATTGATACCAGCACTGAGTGTTTTTCAAATCACTTATTTGTTTATTTAGTTTTTCACTATAAGGGTGTATTTATGTGTTTGAGTAGCGCGGCATTGTGTTCACACTTTTTGTCAGTCATTTTAGTTCCTGGTGTCTAGGCTTCAACGGATAAGGTGGCCGATCACCCGATACCAAGGATTCCAAGGGCGATGACATGTTTTAGCTTGATCTGTAATCAGAAACAAATTTTAGCTCTATTCTTTTAAATAATATTTTTCCTGAGAAACATATTTCTATTTTTTTATTCCAGGTCTCATGATTACAGGGTTCGGTCCTTGCCAATTGCTATTATTTTTGCAGGGGCAGGCGGATCTTTCTCGTCTTCTATTTATATTTCGGCTCCTACATTGATTCGTGGATTTGAATCCTTTATTTTTCTACACTGTCAATTCGGTTGGAGCCTGTCCTTTCTCCAGTTGGGCCACATATATTGGTATTAATAGCAATGGTGCCATCTTTTTTCCCTTATCGATAGTTAAGGATTTTCTTCCTAGATTGATCATAATTACCTTTATTTCCCCTTGATAATCTGAGTTAATCACTCCTCCGATAATTACGGTTTCTCTAAGTGCAAAATTAGACCTGGTTGATATTTGTCTAAAATGATTGTCAGGTATCTTATAATCTATTTTAGTAGGGATGATATCTACCTTTCCTTGTCCTATAACAATATGTCTATCGAATAAAGATCCAGACCAGTTGATGTGGATGTTCTTTTGTATGGTTTTTGAGCTTTTTTTATTTATTTTCCAATATATTATAGTTTCAATTTTTGCTGCCCCAAGGCTCAAATTAGGGGTTAACATTTGCATTAGAAGTGTCATGGAATTAGTAATGGGTCTATTATTTATTATCTGTAAGACTGACATATATGGGTTAGCAATTGTGCCATCTTTTTTTTCCCTTATCGATAGTTAAGGATTTTCTTCCTAGATTGATCATAATTACCTTTATTTCCCCTTGATAATCTGAGTTAATCACTCCTCCGATAATTACGGTTTCTCTAAGTGCAAAATTAGACCTGGTTGATATTTGTCTAAAATGATTGTCAGGTATCTTATAATCTATTTTAGTAGGGATGATATCTACCTTTCCTGGTCCTATAACAATTGTGTCTATCGAATAAAGATCCAGACCAGTTGATGTGGATGTTCTTTTGTATGGTTTTTGAGCTTTTTTTATTTATTTTCCAATATATTATAGTTTCAATTTTTGCTGCCCCAAGGCTCAAATTAGGGGTTAACATTTGCATTAGAAGTGTCATGGAATTAGTAATGGGTCTATTATTTATTATCTGTAAGACTTCTGTTAAATTATCCTTTTATTGGCTATACAATTTTGTTCCTGTTAACTTCTTCAAAGTGGAATTTAGTAGTTTGTTCATTCTTTCTACAAGTCCTGCAGCTTGTGGGTAATAGGGTATATGATATATTCATTCAATATTATGTTTCTTTGCATATTCCTTTATCTGTTGTCCTGTGAAATGAGATCCATTGTCAGTCTGAATTTGTAGGGGAGTACTATAATACTGTGTGATAATTTCCAAAGTTCTCAGTGTACTCCATTGAGTGGCAGATTGACAAGGGAAACCAATCATTAATCCTGAAAATGTGTTTACTGCTGTGCATACATATTTACATTTTCGGCTTTCTGGGAGAGGTCCAATAAAATTAATCTGCCAAATCTGTCCAGGTAACTGTCCTCTCCCTATATGTTTCATCACAGTATGTGGAATTTCCATCTTTTGTGTATGTTGACATATTGGACATTGTGCTATTGTTTGCTTAATGATATCTAACGTTAGAGGTATGCCTCTCACTTGTGCCCACCTGTAAGTGGCTTTTTTTTTTAAATGTCTATTTTTTTTGGTGAGTCTAAAGGGCTGTATTCTGCAGCCATATTTCTTGAATTTCAGCTTCTCTTTCTGCATCGGATGTTTTGGATATAGCTGCAGCAGTGTCTGCTTGAGAATTAAACAAACATTATATTCATTTGTTTTATTTTCATTTCATTCATGAGCACCTGTTTCCTATGTTGTTTCTTGTCTACATCCTTATGTTCTTTTCTTATTTCTGCACTCTTCTTATCAACCTTTCTTCCTGACAGCATTTTTTTTGCTTATATAATTTTTATAATACTTGTGTATCTTTTTCATCAATGTGTTCGTTAGGAATTCTGGCTTTAAGTAAATCCTGGAACATATCTTTCCAGGACAGGTGATTATTCATATTTTTTTTCTGAGGGGGAGGTGAGTTATTGTTCTCTTTTATCTCCAGAGGAGGAAGATTTAATCCATTCTTCCATATCCTACAATTCAGTCATCTTATCCACTATCTCATTCCATCTACTGTTATTTAATGATATTAACAATGGGTTAAAAATGAGGGTTTATTTTAGGGTCCGGGTAACCAGGTCCTCCCGGACAGTCATCCCAATTATCATCTGATGAGGAATTCCATACATCAGCATCCCATTTATCCAGATCCTAATTAATTATGGCTGCTGCTATTGTCCGATGGATTTTTCCATGGTTCACTCTTCCCCTTCTTTACCTATACTTTATTTGGGCCACTTTTACTGCTGCTATCTCAGCTATATTTTGATAATGTTTTAATTTATTTTTCAACAATTTTTGTCTACATTGCAGAAGAACAATTTTACCTTCTTGTCTTATAGTTTTCTGCTCTAGTTGATGGAAATTCTTTATTACCTGATGTAATTTCTTATGAATCTTCCTGTATGCAGTTAGCAAAATCCAACTGCGTCTGCCTACAGCTACTACATCACCTGCCTTGGCAGGGATTCCCTTGAGTACATTTACAACATCAAGGGGTTCTGTCTCTTTTAGTTTATTCTCCTATGATTCAGCCAAACTTTGTGTAATTAATTCTTTAGCAACAGTATTATATGGAGCCTCGGTCCAGCCGGATACCTTCACTTTGTCTTTATTTTTCTTCCTAAACATTGTTAGTTTTTTTTCAAAATGTTAGTTATGTTAGTTATATGTATAGGGGATGTTAGTTATATGTTTCAAAAATTTTGGCAATGTGTCAAATGGGCATGACTCTGGTCAGAGGTTCCTTTTTTTTACTAGTTGAACCTCCCAAAGTCTCGTTCCTCTTTTAACATCTATGTTAAAAATATACTAATTCAAAATTTATGGCAAAGTGCCAAGTGGGCATGATTCTGGTCAGAGGTTCCCTTCTTTTACTAGATGAACCTTCCAAAGTCCCGTCCCTTCTTTAACATCTATGTTAAAAAATATACCAATTCAAAATTTTTGGCAAAGTGCCAAATGGCCGTGACTCTGGTCAGAGGTCCCACTCTTTTACTAGTTGAACCTCCCAAAGTCCCGTCCCTCTTTTAACATCTATGTGGAAAATATACTAATTCAAAACTTTTGGCAAAGTGCCAACAGGTTCAAATAAAACATCTGAATGCACACTTCCAATTTCCGTCCTTAATTTTTCAATATCACTTTCTGGTGTCCTTCTATAAGCATTTGAACCTTATTGGCAAAAAGCCAATTTTCAAGATTTTGCACGAAGACTCTTCTGCGCAAAAGAGGTCTCCGCTGAAAATCCCAAAACAAAATACTTTAAAACAACAACATTTTCCCCAAATGATCCTGCCGACTACGCATATTTATGTTTTACCTGCTCAAAATTAAGACTACAGCTCACTCACTATCATACTAGATAGGCAAAGACTAAGTCTTTTGAGGTAAAATATAAAAAAAGTATATTTATTGATATTTAATATTCCCTATTACAGGTTATAGCTAATCATATATAAAATAAATCATAAAGCGTAAGCATCAATACATCACCGGATATTGTAGCATCACTCGTCGCCTCGATTGGGGGACTTCCAGCAATCAGCGAGGAGGAAACCGGGAAAACATCGTAAGACACGTCTGCCGCACCAAGATGAAGTCCCGTTTGCTCCTCAGAAATTCCCCCTTCTTATAAGACAAAATTGATATTTTACTCGTGTGTAAGTTCCGCCATGTGAACACAGCATGGGTTCATGCTCAGTTGCTTGTTCTCACGGTGTGCCCTATCTCATGACAATGAGTCATAATTATAGATAAAACCAGTTTCATCCACCTTTGCACAAATAAGCCTGAACTGTAATAACCTGTTATACCTATAACAGTGTAAAACCAAGGCCTGTAATAACCTGTTATACCGGTAACAGAAAAACCAAGTGTTCAATTATAATCTATACACTCATTCTATACAGGCTTGTCACACACGTATCACAACAGCTCAACCAGCAAAGAGACAGCCCATCCAGCAAAGAGACAGCCCGTCCAGCAAAGAGACAGCCCGTCCAGCAAAGAGACAGCCCGTCCAGCAAAGAGACAGCTTGTCAGGAATCAAGGAATGACCAGAAAGGTGCGGACTGACACAGGGAAACGCAGGTCTCAGGTATAGTATTATACAGGTATTATTAGCCACCCAGATATATATATAAACGCACAGTGAACAAACTAACCTTCCACTAATCTTAGGAGGTGCAGGAACACAGGCGTAGTCAGGGCTGGAGAGGTGGAATGGTCAGGCCGGCCGTAGGGTTCTGTAACGACTGCCTGGTGGTACCTCTAGCGGTCCTCAGGGCAGGATTCCCCAGGGCGCGGAGTCTAAGTCCCAGTCTGCTATTCACCAGGGCCCCTGATGGTGGGGATGGACTTGGAGCAGACAGGAACCAGGTCGCGGCCCCTGAGTACACCTGCTAGTGATAGAGGGATCCGCCAGAGGTATGTGCAGGTACGGCTGGATCCGTGCAGGATGGATGGATGGCAGAGTAGTTAGCGTGGTCAGACGGGCCAAGTCAGCAACGTGCGGGCAGCAAGGTATCAAAGGAGCAGGCAGAGAATGGTCAAGGTCACAAGCCGGGTTCAGTAACTCACGGACAGCGCAGTACAGAGGATCAGGCAGAAGAATAGTCAGGGATGAGCCAGTAGTCAGAGCAGGAGACGGTCAACAGGAATCAGGATCAGACAGGGTCGGCAACAAGGTATCTTCTCACAGGAACTAGGAACAGGATACAGGGGCACATGGGGAGACATACACCAAGGCAAAGAGCACAGGCCTGGTCATGCCTTATATACACCTTTCTGTAATCAGCCCCAGGTTTGGCTGATTGTGAGCTTCTGGCTGCTAAGAGCACCTGCTGGTCAGCTCTGGTACTGCAGCCCCCACATGGCAGGAGAGTCCCACCACCAGTGCTGAGAGCACCCGCTGGTCAGCTCTGGTACTGCAGCCCACACGGCAGGAGAGTCCCACCACCAGTGCTGAGAGCACCCGCTGGTCAGCTCTGGTACTGCAGCCCACACGGCAGGAGAGTCCCACCACCAATGCTGAATCCATTCCTGACACAGCTCAACCAGCAAAGAGACAGCCCATTCAGCAAAGAGACGGCTCGAGCAGCAAAGAGACAGTTCAACCAGCAAAGAGACAGCCCAATCCACCTCCGCTACAAAGCTGTCACAATGTGCAAGCCGGTGAAGCAGAGAGGCCGCTGTTGTCCTTTCAGTTTGGCTCTGAGTGCAGCGGCTGGCCTGGGAGGTGTCTGTATATCCTTGGCAGCACTTTCTGCTTGTCACTGGAGCCGTCATTGCCACTTCTCCTGCTTTAGGCATAGCGCATAGGGGGAGGTGAGCGGCAGCTGCGGTCTATGTCAGCTCTGTCCAGACCGCTTACCTCCCGCTGTGCAGGCCACTTTTCTCAACCCCAGAGGCCCATCAGGCAAATGCTTGGAGTGCTTACTTTCCAAAAAGGGGTAATTGGGGGGAGGGGTGCTTCTACTATCCTGGCATTTCAGGGTCAACATTAGAAGCTTATGCCAGATATCACCCACTTTTCTAACCACATGAAGACCAAGCCTTTTCTAACACTTTGTGTTTACTTGAAAAAAACAGGGTTTTTTTTGCTAGAACATTTCTTTGAACCTTTAAACGTTATATATTTTTTTAAAGCAGAGGCCCTAGAGAATAAAACGGTGAGAGTTTAAATTTTTTATTTCACGCAGTATTTGTGCAGCGATTTTTCAAACACAAATTTTTGGGAAAAAAATAAATTTTTTAGAATGCACAAAAACACAATATATTGCTCAATTGTTTGCTAAAATGTAAAAGATGGATACCAAAACATGATATGCTTTAAAATTGTGCA